ACGCCGAAATAAAGGAGATCCTGAGGGATGGTCCCGAGAATTGGCCCTACTACATATTACTTCACAACCTATCCCCAGATATAAGAAATCAATTCTACGCCATCTCCTGAATGCTGCCAAATCCCTAATTCCAGTATATTGGAAGACAGCAACCATTCCCACGATAGAAGAATGGCTCCATAGGGTCAAGGACATTCAGGCAGCAGAGGCAGTGCGGGCATCCCTAGCGGGACGTTCGACAAAGCACGCGGAGACATGGCAACCCTGGTTCTCGTATCAGGCAGATAGATAAAGGGCCCATACGGGGCGCAATGGGGGCGGGGAGGCGGGACGGACAGGCCGGGACTCGTCGCCTTTATTGGCCGATCTTACCCCCCTGTGTAGGATAATCCATCTTGGGAGGAGTTATGGCCCGTAGTAACATACGATCCCTTACCGACCCGAACTTATGCTCGCACACGCTAGATAACCGACAATGTGGCATCATGAAATCCCTCCCGACACACACACGCCCAATCAACGCACACGATAGACTAAACTACACTCTATAGGACACATCATACGGTTGTGCAAATTGGAAGATGGAGCCCGAAGGGAAGGACCCAACACACAATATAGAGCCGACCCCCAGACGATCCCACTGAGACAATAACACAGCCTAGGTTCACACTGCATGATCAACGTACTACAGTAAGCCGCTATGACAAGACCTGACGAAACCCCGACCATCACGCGCACGCTCACGGCCCGTTTCGGTTGGGCATGAGAGTGCGGACACCAGGGAGGACTCTCCTCATACCTACACATCATTCCTTAACTTTCTTCTTCTCACCCTACAACACATTATATTTCTAGTTACTCTCATATGTCTCTCAGGGATATAAGTCACTAACCTGATGACTGAAAGCAACGTCTGCCTGACTATATCTAGGGGGTCGAGCATCAAATGTGGAACATGCCCCACACAAACATACTAGATAATGCCCTGCAAACAATTACTGAAAATGCTCTTTTGTGCTGTATTTGTGCAAATAACATGTACGCTAAATATGTCTTAAACTGATATCGGAATGTAAAAGCTTTAAGTTTTGGGAAAATTCCAATGTATTGCTCTGAAGACTAACCTATGTTGTAACACGTAATACTGCTCTCCATTGAGGCCTGCGAGCCTAATTCTTTTTCTTCAATAAAAACAGATTTGAAAAAAAAAAAAGAAAAAAAAAAGAAAAGAAAAAACAGGTGTTTTAGGATATGGGAAATTCATATAGTCAAATTCTTTCTTATTTAGAATTTCTAATTCTAAAACTTTTGTTAAAAAAGCTCTGAACTTTTCTTTTATAGTACTACTAGGGTTAATAGTTAATTTTTTTAAAGTTAGTAACGTCCATCAAAATACGTGAAGCTTCTTTATTGTAGAATTCTTTAGACATAACCACTATTCCTCCCCCTTTGTCCGCTGGTTTTATCACTAAATTTTCATCGTTTTTCAATTCCCTTAGCGCTTTCCTTTCCTTTATTGATAAATTGTCATTAAATGTATCCTTTACTTTTATCTTTCTATACTCATTCAAGACCATAGTCTCAAATGTAATCATACTTTCTGAAATCATATGTTTAGGAAAGAAACTCGATTTCTTTCTAAGGTCTGTATGCTTAAATTCATTATCCCACTCAAGTTTTCTTTCTATAGGATTTTTAAGTAAGAATTTCTTTAAACATAAATTTCTTTTAAATTTATTCAAAACCACGTAAAAATCAAAATGATTCTGATGCTTACTTGGGGCAAATTTTAACCCTTTACTAAGAGTATTTACCTGATCTTTTGTTAACTCTATACTGCTTATATTATAAATACCCATTTCCTTCATAGTTGCAGGGTTCATAAGTTCTTTCTCCAAAGCCTCTATTTCCTTTCTCTCCTGGCTTTTTTTGATTGATTTACATCCTCTCCTTCCTCTTGTGTCGAAACTCTTCATCTTTTGAGGTATAAAAGTTGATCTGCTCCCTGTTCTCTCTTGTGTCTCTCTATCTGACGACTCCTCCAAAAATCCTGTTCCAGTTCTTGTCCTTCCAGGACTTGATACCGGTTCCGTTTCCTTAAGGATTCTTGCATAGATGGTCTATATTCTCTTTGCTCTCTGTTATATCTGACATCTTGATTATAGAGTCTATAGTCTTCCCTCTTTCTTCTGTACTCATGTTGGGCATTATGTCTATCTACATAACCCCTATCTTTGGTTCCATAAAACCTAGTTTATTCTGATACTGCTTATATCTAGGTCTATCCCTGTGTGGTGATGCCCGGGATTTGTATCTATATTTCCTATCTTCTTCTCTAAAACCACAAGAGTAATGGGACACCCTGTGGTTATCTCTATGTGTATAGTTCTCTCTATGCTTTCTTAATGGCACTAAATTTCTTTGCTCATTTCCGTATTTTTGAGGAGTATAGTGAGGTTTCATATTATCTCTTTCAGTCTTTGCAGTCTCTTGATTTCTAAATTGTCCCTGATATTTAGAGAAAGACCTCACTTGATGGTTTTTATAATCCCGTACATCTCTCTGATATTTTTTTTTTTTAGTTTCTACCACTCCTCTCTCTATCCTATCTAAATTGATCTTGATTTCTTCCGTCAGACTATCGAATTCTTCCTGATTAAGAGCATTAAGGATTTCATCTTGACATTTAGTAATCTCAATGTCTAGCTCTTTCAAGTTCTCCCTCCTTCTTCTAATAATAAGCTGCATGGAGGTAAAGGAAAAACTTTCTAACATAGTATTCCAGTCCTCCATGAAGCCTATAACATCTTGATCAAAAGTGGGCATTTTAAAATATCTTAAACCTCTCAGGGTAATTTTTTCCTCTATATATTTTTCTAACGTAGCGACTTCCCATTTTATTCTCAATTCCTTCTGTATAAGTCTCTCTAATTTGATGATAGTCTTATCAGGTTCAACTCCTCTTTTATTCTTAGGTTTATTACTCCAGTTGGCAAATTCCCTTGCCATATCCTTCTGAATATTGTTTCTTTTATCAAATAAAGCCATATTGATCAAAAGCTGCCTAGTATAAATAAGAAAGACAATAGCCAATAGAAATAAAAACAATATACTGGCGCTGAAACAAAATATAACACTCTCTAGTAGAAACACTAAAAAGAGCTGCTGTAACACCCAGATGCAATCTTTCTCACTTACATCAATACAAATAGGAATACAAAAAAGAAGAAGGTGTAGCGCTACATACATACAATAGGACTGAACCTAGCCTGTGAAAAAACGTCCTGATGAAAATAGTCCAAATACCATATAAAGTATACCTAAAACAGAGGAGAAAGAAAAGACTCTGACAGTGTAACACTGTAAAGCTTAATAGTAATAAGTACCAAAAGCAATATTGCACTCACATTCTCCTGAGCTTAACGCCAAACTCAGGGATAAGCGTATGTAGGTCCGTACAGGTGACCTTCCCCTTCTTCAAGCCGGGTAGTCTTGTATAATCACCTCTAGGACTCAAATAAAACAAATATATGGTATAGTATTGTGATAAGGTGAATGGGGTGGTCTGTGAGGGAGTCTATATCTTGACAGAATTGTTCAGAGAGGCATATGATTTTTAACCCCAGGGGGAGTGTATGTTTCTGTGTATGTAACCAGAATGAAAATTTAGTTATGGGCCCCTGGGGTGGAGCATTTGGAGAGAAGGGTGGGCCAGTGCTCCACTCCGCAGTTTAGCGGTTTTCTTGGAAGACATAGATCCAGCCCAGGGTTTTGGACTGTCTCCAACCTACTGCTCAGCTGCAGGTAATCGGCTGCAGCAGTGGGAATAAATCCCTCCCTGCTGGGCAGGTAGGGAGAGAATGTTTTGTTTCTCTCTGAAAGGCTGGAAGCAGCAGGCTGGCTAAATACTGGAGTGCTGAGAGTGGACAAAGACTCTAGGTTGGTGAAACCAATATTGTTTTGTTTAGTTTAACTCTGAGAGATAGGGAACCTAATGTCAGTTAGTGCTCAGACGAGCTAGGCTTTTGTTTATAAGGTTTTGCGTTACATTTATGTTTTCATTTACTGCTGTATCCTGTGTGGATTTACAAATAAAGTGTCTGCAGTATATGCAATTACAAGGACTGTGCCTATTTTTTACCCTAGAGGACCATGCTACCTGCAAACAAGGATCACAATATGGTGGAGAATGCGGGCAGTGTAGCACATTGAGGGTCTGTGGGTGTGCCAGTCATTCGGTAGTCTGCTTGAGGACTTTTATTTTGGCAGACCTGCTAATCAAATAAGTAGCACCGTACCTTTAAGACTGTTACCTGCTTGGTGCTATAATGGAGGAGCTGGTGAAAGCTCTGGTACAGGCAACCGCTGTACAACAGGAAACAAATCGTCTACTGGTTACCCAGGTTGAGAACCTGAAGGAAGCCCAGCAGATGGATAGAGCTGCCCTTACTGATGATGTTTAGCAGAATGGGTATACCTAAGGAAATTCTCACAGATCAGGGAACCCCTTTTATGTCAAAAATCATGCGTGATTTGTGCAAATTGCTCAGAATCAAGCAGCTGAAAACCTCGGTATACCATCCGCAAACTGATGGATTAGTGGAGACGTTTAAAAAAACTCTAAAGGCTATGCTGCGGAAGGTGATAGACAAGGATGGAAAAAACTGGGATTATCTCATACCCTACCTGATGTTTTCTATTAGAGAAGTCCCGCAAGCTTCCACAGGGTTTTCACCTTTCGAGTTAATGTATGGTAGGCATCCTAGAGGCATACTGGATGTTGCCAAGGAAACATGGGAACAAGAGCATACCCCCCATCACAGTCTTATAGAGCATGTAGCGCAAATGCAAGAGTAGATCGAAGCGGTAATTCCCATAGTTAGGGAAAACATGGAAAAGGCCCAGAGAACCCAACAAGCAAGCTATAACCGGAACGCAAGGCTACGGGTATTCAAACCAGGTGATAGGGTTCTAGTTCTTGTTCCCACGGTAGAAAGCAAATTCTTAATTGCATATTTGAGGCCTATTTTCTTTTTAATTTCCTCCCAAACAGGCAACATTTGGGCCCATATAATATTATTTTTAATATCTGTCCCTATATTATCTAGAGTTTTCGTATTCCATAACAAGCCTTCTGGGTTTTTTAGTCTCAGATCTTCCATTTCAATACTATACCAGCTTTCTTCTTCAGCTGTCCCCGTCTGGGACCTATACATATGATTGATCACATTTGCCCAGTATATAACTCTTATATTAGGAAAGTTTAATCCGCCTTCCTTAATTTTTAATGATAGAATATTTCTCTTTATTCTGTTTTTCTTACCCTTATTAATGAAATTTTCTAGATTATTTTGTAATAGTGTCAACCATATGTCTGGAATCCTAAGTGGAATCATCTGAAATAAGTAACTCCATTTAGGAATCATATAGGAATTGATAACGTTAATGCGGCCCCACCAGGTAATCTGCATATTTCTCCACTCTTTAAGTAATAAATTTGTACTTTTTAATAGACTTAGGAAATTTTCTTCCATCATCCTCTCTATATTTTTAGTAACCAGTATTCCTAAGCAATTGAATTTCTGAGATGCCCATGTAAATGCGTATTGATTACTAATTTCCTCTCTTAACTTCTTATCCAGTTCGATACTCATCACAACTGTTTTTTCATTATTTAATTTATAATTTGCCAATTGGCTATACACTCTAACTTCCTCCATCAGATAGTTCAAAGAGCTAGCTGGTTCAGTAATTGACAAAAGGATATCGTCCGCATAGAGACTTATTTTAAATTCTTTATCTCTTATTCTATATCCTTTTATATCTACATTTTTCCTAATGTTTTCCGCTAGGGGCTCTATTGAGAGAACATATAGTAATGGCGAAAGTGGACATCCTTGTCTCACCCCATTGTTTACTGATACCCAGTCTGAACAGATATTTGGGCCTACTATTCTAGGTATTGAAGGATTTTTATATAAAGCCATAATTCCTCTTAACAACCAGCCTTCTATTCCATATGCTTCTAAAGTTAATTCTAAAAACTTCCAATTTAGCCTATCGAAGGCTTTTTCTGCATCAACTGCTAAGGTCATAAGAGGAATGTGTTTCTTATTAGCATTATCAATTATATCTATGATTCTTCTTGAATTAGAGCCTACCCATCTATCTGGTATAAAACCTATTTGATCATTGTGAATAAGCTTATTAATAATACTCTTAAGGCGGTCTGCCAATATAGATGAGAATATTTTTACATCTGAATTAATTAGAGAGATAGGGTGATAACTAGCCACAACAGTTGGATCTTTTCCTTGTTTCAAGATGGGGAGCATATTAGCTCTAGTCATCTCTTCGGGAAAACGTCCTATTTGAACCGCATTATTAAACGTTAATGCTAATTGTTTACTCAAAATAGATTTATAAGTATGAAAAAACAGATTAGAAAATCCATCTGGACCTGGTGTTTTTAACTTCTGGGTTTTAGATATAGCACTATTCACCTCGGCTTCTGTAATCGGATTATTGAGACTATCTTTCTGAATTTGATCTAATTTTGTTAGATTTGTACTAGTTAAATACTGTTTAATCTTATTTGTAGTAGCTTCAACAGGAAGATTATATAGTAACCCATAATAATCTCTAAAGCAGTCCCCAATATCTTTTGGATTTGTATAAGTTATTTGATTATATATAATCTTAGATATCCGAGCATTAGCATATTGTTTCCTCAACTTATTAGTTAGCATCTTATCTGTTTTATTCCCTCTACAGTAGAATCTCAATTTCAGTTTTTTAATATTTTCTATTGTTTTAGTATTCAAACATTGTAGAATATTTTTTTGCACTTCTGTTATTCGTCTTCCTTTCTCCATTGTGGGATCTGCTTTATTGTCTGTTGTAAGCTTATAAAGTTCAATATATAAATCTCCTAATCTCTTTTCTTTACTTTTAGCTTCATGATTTAGCTTTATACGATAACCTTTTTGTAACTGCTTTGAATGAACACCACGTATTTAGATATGAAGTGTCTGAAGGATCATTCTCCTTAAAGAAACATATTATCACTTTCTCTAACTTGGTCTTACTGCTTTTGTTATATAACAGTTATTTAGTTTCCACGTTGTATTATTTATAGCTGTCATCTTATCTTTTATTTCGAATATATACATACTATGATCTGACCATACGTTTTCCACTATATTTATTTCAACCAAATTATCTATTAGAGTTATATTGCCCCAAATCATATCAATTCTTGAATATGTAAAATGTACTCTAGATAGATGGGTGTAATCTCTTAATTCGGGATTTTGAAGACGCCAAGCATCAAATAGATCATAATTGTTTTTAGTATTAGTCAATGAGCTCGCATTTTTAATTATTGTTTTATTCATTACACTCCCTTTCAGCAATTTTTTATCCTTTTGTGGATCTAATATACAATTAAAATCTCCTGCTACTATATATATCCCAGTTTTGACTAAATCCGCTTTATCTAATATTTTCTTCAGTTGAGAAACTGGAGCTACATTTGGTAGATATATGTTAACTATCGTATATTTAACATCATTTATCTTGCCTACTAAAATCATAAATCTTCCTTCTTTATCTAATTCCTGATAAAGGTTCTCCCACTTGACCCTATCTGAAATTATCATTGCTACACCTCTTTTTCTTTTGTCCTTCATAGATGCATGTAAAAAAATTGGAAGCTTATTACCTCCCCATGTTAATTTCTCATTTTGTCTCCAATGTGTCTCCTGAACTAAACAGATATCTATTTTTCCTTTTATCATTTGATTTCGTAGCAGAGATCTTTTATACATCGTATTCAGGCCCTGAGCATTAATAGACATAAATTTAACCATATTTTAATCTTCTCCCTCGATTTTCTTCCCTCCTACCCTTAAGACCCCGCAGATAACACACATTTATCACATACAACATTACATTAATTAAGGACATCTTATAGTCCTACTTGTTAACCTATCTAACAGAAGACTAACCCTAATTTCTGTAGATAGACCCCGTCCCGTGAGAAACCAACTACTCCGAGACTTATGCTTAATACAAGCATCAGGCAGATCTATATATTGGAGTCATGAGGCACCGGCCAGGGGGGAGGAGAAAAAAAACAACATTTTCTTTGCATTACATTATAGAGACTATTACCAACTAGTTCTCTTACAATGATAGTTTCTCTACAGGAGCCCTCTCCTTCCCTTTCCTGTTTTTCTTATTCTTCTTCTCTCCCCTTTCCCTTTCTCATTCCTTTTTTATGAGTTGCTATAGCATATTTGAGAAAAAAATAAATAAAAAAAATTAACCTATTTGTTCACTATACCAGTTTGTACAAACACTTACGCCTTTATCATTATAGTGACTTTTTCTCTACAAAACCTTTTTCTATGCTTCTGTGATACACCCTTATTCTAAATTTACCCCTTAACTACCATGTTATATTGTTTTATCTTGTACCAAATTATACATACTCTTAATTAGTACTTCTTCTCCATTTACCGATATCTAACTCTATAGTGAATATATTAACATTTGTGAACTTTTCTTGTTTGATAGTACAATCTATACTTATACAAATTTGTACAAACTCTTGAAATTCAGAAAAGTTATAGTGATTATTTCTCTACGCAAACCTTGTCTATATTTCAATAATAAATTATTTTTTCAAATTGGTCAAAATTTACCAGTGAATAACCATCTAAATCGGCAAATTTAAGGATAATAGAAGCTAATATGAAAGACCTATCTTTAGAAATTTGGAGATCTCAAGGAATAAATAAAGTTTCACAGATATTAAACTCAGATGAAATATTGCCTTTTGATATTATAATACAAAAATACCATCTCCCTCAACGAGAGTTATTTACATACTTGAGGCTTAAACATTTTCTGCAGAAACATCTTATTAAAGATTCTAGAAAATCGCATATAATGATAAAACGCATATTTTCAAATCAGAATATATCGAAAGTTTTAGCTAAAGCAATAGAGATAATCAGAAATACTAATGAGGTAGCTAATTTTCCCCAGAAGACTAAATGGGAAAAAGATTTGAAGTGTTCTTTAGAACAAGAAGATTGGTGTAAAGCTATAAATAATACTCGCCGACAGGTCCAATGTTTAAATTTATTAGAAACTTATTATAAGGTTATGTATAGATGGTATTTAGTTCCTAGCAAGCAATCTCAGATGTATCCTGGAGTTACCTCTAGATGTTGGAGATGCGATAAAGAGGAGGGATCATTCCTCCACATTTGGTGGAGTTGTTCAAACATTCAGACCTCTATTAAGAGACTGATAGGATTTATTAGAGATAATACTGGAATAGAATTAGAAAAGAAACCAGAGGTAGTCTTGTTACACATGCATTGGCCGAATATGTCATATATAAATAGTTGTTTTATAATTCACTGTCTTACTGCATTTAAAATTGTTCTTGCACGGAACTGGTCACGGAATCAAGTAGTTTATTGGGACGCCATTAAAGATCAAATCATCCTTCAGATGAGGATGGAAAGAGACCTAAGTATACCGTATTTGAATTCCCCAAAAAGAAGGGATCTATGGCAAAGATGGGTTAATAAAATAGAACCTACTATATAAATTAAACAGATACCTATTAGATCTGGTAATAACTGAAGAGTAAGAGTCCTGAGCTAAAACATATTCCTATACTAGCCCGATCCCGCAGATAATAGTGTAATTTGTTTGTCTGTTGTGAATGTTTTGATTGTGTAAAGATGTCACGTGACTTGTGGTGTTGTGCTGATATTTCTATTTATGTAAGAAATTGAATAAAAGAATTTATATGAAAAAAAAGAAAGCAAATTCTTAGCCAGCTGGCAAGGGCCATATAAAATCACTGAGCGGATCAGTGACGTGAACTATAAAGTAAGACAGCCAGGCAGACGGAAGCCAGAACAGACATATCATATAAATTTATTGAAGCCATGGGTAGAACGAGAGGTTTTCATCGTGACCAGAGATAAACCTACTCAAGCCACTCGTGAGCAGGGTCCGGAGGTGCATGTCGCTGATACTCTTGCCCCCCATCAGAAACAGGAAGTCAAGGAGTTTGTGTCTAAAAATAGGGATGTGTTTTCCCCAATACCAGGAAAAACACATATAATCAAGCATGATATCCTAACTGAACCTGGGAAGAAGATCAATCTGAAGCCCTACAGGATACCTGAGGCTAGACGTGAAGCGGTTAGTGCAGAGGTTAAAAAGATGCTTGAGCTGGGGGTGATTGAAGTATCACAAAGTGAGTGGAACAACCCAATTGTGTTAGTGCCCAAACCAAATGGGGAAATCCGTTTCTGCAATGATTTCCGTAAGCTAAATGATATCTCTAAGTTTGATGCCTACCCGATGCCTCGTGTGGATGAGCTAATAGAGCGATTAGGTAAGGCCAGATATCTGAGCACCTTGGACCTCACCAAGGGATACTGGCAGGTACCCCTGACAGAGAAAGCAAAAGAGAAAACCGCGTTTTCTACCCCTGATGGGTTGTTCCAATATAAAGTGCTGCCATTTGGGTTGCATGGTGCCCCAGCAACGTTTCAGCGTATGATGGATAAGATACTTCACCCCCACAGACAGTATGCAGCCGCCTACCTGGATGATGTGGTGATTCACAGTGCGGACTGGGAAACCCACTTGATGAAGGTTCAGGCAGTTGTGGATAGTATAAGGGCTGCCGGTTTGACAGCTAACCCTGCTAAGTGTTCTTTAGGGCTAGAAGAAGCAAAATATCTGGGGTACACTATCGGGCGGGGGCTCCTTAAACCACAAGAGAGCAAAGTAGCAGCCATCACCAGTTGGCCACGTCCTGTAACTAAAAAGCAAGTCAGGGCTTTTTTAGGCTTAACCGGCTACTATCGTAGGTTCATCCCTGGGTACGCTACCATTGCCAACCCATTGACTGAACTTACTAAGGCAAAAGGCCCGATTATGGTTAAGTGGACCCCGGAAGCAGAGCATGCCTTTCAAGTCTTGAAGGGAGCCTTGTGTGCTGACCCTGTTTTGGTGGCTCCGGATTTCACTAAACCATTTGTGGTACAGACCGATGCGTCTGATGTGGGCCTTGTCGCGGTTCTGTCCCAGGTACATGAAGGAGAGGAACATCCTGTCATGTATCTGAGCCGGAAAATGAATCCCCATGAACAGAGGTACTCCGTAGTGGAAAAGGAATGCCTGGCGATAAAATGGGCTTTAGAATCCCTGAGATATTACTTACTAGGGAGATGTTTTACACTGATCACGGACCATGCTCCTTTAACATGGATGAGGCATAACAAAGAAAAGAATGCCAGGGTGACTAGATGGTTCCTAAGTCTTCAGCCATACCAGTTTACTATTGCTCACAGGGCCGGAACTGCCCAAGGTAATGCGGATGGCCTCTCCCGAGTTCACTGTTTATGGTGCCAGGCCGCTCGCCCTGATGGGTCTGAGCTGGGGAGGGGGATATGTGATAAGGTGAATGGGGTGGTCTGTGAGGGAGTCTATATCTTGACAGAATTGTTCAGAGAGGCATATGATTTTTAACCCCAGGGGGAGTGTATGTTTCTGTGTATGTAACCAGAATGAATATTTAGTTATGGGCCCCTGGGGTGGAGCATTTGGAGAGAAGGGTGGGCCAGTGCTCCACTCCGCAGTTTAGCGGGTTTCTTGGAAGACATAGATCCAGCCCAGGGTTTTGGACTGTCTCCAACCTACTGCTCAGCTGCAGGTAATCGGCTGCAGCAGTGGGAATAAATCCCTCCCTGCTGGGCAGGTAGGGAGAGAATGTTTTGTTTCTCTCTGAAAGGCTGGAAGCAGCAGGCTGGCTAAATACTGGAGTGCGGAGAGTGGACAAAGACTCTAGGTTGGTGAAACCAATATTGTTTTGTTTAGTTTAACTCTGAGAGATAGGGAACCTAATGTCAGTTAGTGCTCAGACGAGCTAGGTTTTTGTTTATAAGGTTTTGTGTTACATTTATGTTTTCATTAACTGCTGTATCCTGTGTGGATTTACAAATAAAGTGTCTGGAGTATATGCAATTACAAGGACTGTGCCTATTGTTTACCCTAGAGGACCGTGCTACCTGCAAACAAGGATCACAGTATGTATGCCCAAAGTTCTAATACTTCTGCATAATATACTCACAAATGTGGAGCCTCTGTATCGGCTCTGTCTCTGCACGTTGTATCAAAATTAAACTCTTGTAAGCAGAAACCAAACAGCCCACAATAATAATAGAAAATAATAATTTTATTACCAAAAGGGGTATATTAGACCCTTAACAGTATAAAACACAAAATAGTATGCAATATTAAAAAAATATAAATAAAAAAATAATAAATGGTCATAAAAGGTATCATACACTCCTTCCCAGAACGCGTTTCACCGTAACTCCAATGGCTTCCTCAGCTGTGTCTTCCCAATATGTTGGGATCCTGCTTATATAGTCCTCTCTTATGCTGTTAATTCAAAAAAGGCGCGCATATCCTCTGCCTGCCCGATCGGCACTTGCGTTCCACACCTCATTCCCCTCTTCGGATCACTTCCGCATATGACGTCATCTCTATTGATCATGTGAACTAGTGCTGGGCGTCATATGCAAATACCGTGTCTATTATATCATCAGTCCAGAATCAAATAATACAGAGAAATGAAAATAATAGATAAACACTACTATAAAGAGTGCAGAAAAGAAAAAATGAATATACTTAATAAATACAGTCAGCAATAATTCTACAGTGTATAGTGGAGCCATCCCGTGGGGAATATCCCCTTACTATAATTCAACACTTCCTCCAGAGGAAACAGTTTCAGTTAAATGCAACAATTATAGTTACATTCCCTCTACATTACATGTATCATTCATCTGGAGGATTACAAAAGTTAAAAAGTAACTTATTCCATCAAATAGCACAATTCATTATATAAAATATGTAGGTTACTCAACCCAATTTATCCCTTTCATAGGGTATCTCTAAAAATCCTATAATCTACACTGTGATATAGTACTAAATACTATGCAAAATAAAATCTCTTCTTATTCCATTTTGGAAACTTATATGAAGGATGGAGGAAGAAAAAATGAAATCTCATAATAATAAAATACAAAACCATACTAATAAAAAATAAACTGTTATTCTAAAAAGTGGCAGATTTCGAAATCCGTATTAAGACCGTAGGGAGTGACAGTATTCAGTTCAAAAATCATTCTCATTTCCTCCCTACAGAGATTTTGATTAAACGTACCTCCTCTCCAATCTTTTGAAGCTTTAATACTTAAAAATAAAGAGCCTAAAGGTTATGAAATTGTTTATAATGTGCAGGTACACTGTGGTTATCTGCTCCTTTCATAATGTTTCTACTATGTTCCTCGATCCGAATATGTAGGGCCCGAGTAGTTTTCCCCACATAATTCAGACCGCAGGGACACTGAAGAACATAAATAACATTTTTCGTATAACATGTTATCATTTCCCTTATCTTGTAGTCTTCCTTACTTTCAAAGTGTGTTAAACTACTATTTTTATTCCCTGTCCTCTTTCAGGCCAAACAGTAACCACATCCGTAAAACCCTTTCCCTTCATTTAAAAAGGTATCGTTCATTTTCCGATCTCTAATATAACTAGAAGTTAAAGTATAACGGAGATTTCCCACTCCTCTATGATAAAAAGTGGCTTTTCCGATAAAATAGTTGCCAAAGCTGGATCTTGACGTAAAATAGGCCAAAACTTATAAATAATATTTCTAATTTTACCATTTTCCAAACTATAATTGCAGATAAAAGGTACATCTTCCACATTTTGTTTTGCCCTCTCCTTATACACTAGGAGGGCCTCCCTTTCTGTATCTTTCACTCTCAATCTAGCTTCTTCTAACTTATTTTTTTCATATCCTTTTTCCAAAAAGGCATTCTTAATTTTAATCGATTGATATATTGATCCCATATATTTGTTTTATTTGAGTCCTAGAGGCGATTAGACAAGACTACCCGGCTTTAAGACCCAAGACTACCTTGGCGTTAAGCTCAGGAGAATGTGAGTGCAATATTGCTTTTGGTACTTATTACTATTAAGCTTTACAGTGTTACACTATCAGAGTCTTTTCTTTCTCCTCTGTTTTAAGTATACTTTATGTGGTATTCGGACTATTTTCATCGGGGCGTTTTTTCACAGGCTAGGTTCAGTCCTATTGTATGTATGTAGCGCTACACCTTCTTCTTTTTTGTATTGATGTAAGTAAGAAAGATTGCATCTGGGTGTTACAGCAGCTTTTTTTAGTGTTTCTACTAGAGAGTGTTAGATTCTGTTTCAGCGCCAGTATGTTGTTTTTAAAAAAAAGAAATCATTTATCTTAATGAAGTGAAGCCGAAACGAGAAGCAAGCAGGAAAAAGGAGGAAAGCACTGCACCATTCGTCAAACAGATTCCCACGAGTGTTTGAACCAAGGCGCTTTAAATAAGCGTATGACGTCACGCACTAGAGCGCATGTGCGAAGTGGCAAATTGTGTATGCGCGCGAGCACACGCCGAGAGGCACCATTCATGGGAACAGACCGAGAGTTCGCACAGTTTATGCAAATGACCCATGCGCGTGAACGGGCATGAAACCTCACGGCAACCCGCAAACC